AGGGTTAATAATTCTCATAAAATGTATTTTGTAGTATTTAATTTGTTATACAAATGGGTATTACATGTGGGTATTAACTAAAAAAGATTAAATATTCTTTTGAGATCTGTAAATACAGATGCTTTAAACTAAGGAAGAAAAAGGAAAATTTCAGTTGAATTTCTTACATTGGAATATTTATATTTGATATGTTCAATGTTTTTTAACACCAATTTTAGCTATTTCTATTTTTAGGCTACGTTTGTACAAGTCCTGTTTTAAACATTTTTTGATTATCAAAAAATCTATAACTCAAAGGAAATATGAAATTGAGTGTTAGCTTAATTTTATTTTAGTGGGTATTATTTACTTTGTAAAAAAAGAAATGAAAATAATCATGAATGCAAATTAACATTTATATTAGATTAACCTTATTTATAATTTCTAATGCAATATCCAAGATCATTTCCTTGTGTATATTCATCACATTTTTGTCTTAGTAACCATTATTCATGCATAATTATTTGCTCATATTTATAAATAGATGCCAGCTGTAAAGTTTATGGTTGAAGGAGTACTACTTTTCATAAAGACGAGTAGTAAATTGACTATTTGGACTGTTGCACTCAGTGCCATCTGTTTTAATAAATTATTATTTTTTTATTTAAATGACTAGTGTAAATCAAATTAAGCATTAAGCAGACAATCCTTGCTGTGTTGAAGAGAATTTTTTTGATTATGAACAGAAACTACAACTTAGAATGTGAAATTGAGTGTTAGGTTTATTTTATGTCAGTGACTATTTACTTTGTAAAAGTGAAATTTTAATTAAAGCATTGAATGAAATTAACATTTGTATTTTATTAATGAATGGATATGAATTTATTAGTTTTATGTATATACTTATCACATTATTGTTTAATTAACCTTTGTATATGAGGCTGGATGTGGATCTAAGGGTCCTTGGTTCATTGCCATGAACACATGCAAGACAAAAACAAAAACTCCACACTTTGGGATCATTGTGCATTACAAGAATGATAATCAAATCTCAATGTTCAGTCTGGTTTGTAAGTCCAAAATTAAGGATGGCTAGCACAGATAACCCTTGTTTAGATTTGTGCAAATGTCCAAAACAAAAACTCTTGTTTAATAGTTTCATTTTGAACTTACTTACTGATTGAAGCTGGTTTTCTAATCATACAATCCACCAGAAGCTAGGCACACCAAAAAGTTTCCTAAATTTACCATACACTATATGCACCACTGGAAACATTATGAAGAAGTTGCACACTTAACACAATGCTTTACCAATTCTCTACTAAAGAAATTACAGGAACTATTAGCAAATTTAAAAAATGCAGACAAGAGACACTTAACCAACACAAAAACTTGAAAAAAAGACTCCACAAAACAAAGGAAACCTAATCACTTGCAATATCCCATATATAGAAAATATTTATACATCTCTATGAGAGATTTTGAAAAGAGTAGCATATGGATATAACCCCAACATAACTCCTAGATTTGTTTTCACCCCTGAAATTATAATTAAACACATTGCATAGCTAACCCACCCCAATAGGAAACATTTATAAAATTAAATTAAACAATTGCCCAGCTTTTCATATAGTTTAAACAGGACATAACTTTAAGATCAGGGTAAAAGAACTCCAAAAACCCCTTCTTAAGCCCATGAACATAATGTCACAGTACTAGAACATGAACTTGACATTAACATTTGAATGCTGAAACTTTTATCTATAAAACGTGTGTACTTGAGAATGATCGCACAACTGATCGAAACGTTGTACCTGTTCTAAAAAATAATCTTCCGTACTGTAAAAGCTGTAACTTGTAATAAAATAAAACTTGTTTATGTTTGTTATTTTCTTCTATTTATAAGTAAATGCCAGCTTTGAAGTTTGTAGTACTTGTCATGGAGACATGATAAACTGGTTATTGTGACTGTTGTACTCTATATCATGTGTTTAATGAATTGTTGTACTTTTCATTTATATGGTAAGTGCATATCAAGTTAATATTAAGCATAGAATCCTTCAGTGTTAGTTATGTTTCATCACATATTGATAATCTTGTAAGTGTAGTCTTGAAAATACGAAAGTACATTGTCATGTGAGCTGATTGATCAGGCTGCACATGCTTTACATTTGCATCTTTAATATATTCAAATATATGAACTTTTGTTGAGGTGATTGTAAAAAAAATCATCGTAACCATGATTTTAAGTAGCTTAAGTAGTTGCTAGTAAGGGGTTGAAAACTAATATTGAAGTTTTCTTTTGAACACAACAGAAGTATATTTGAAAAAGAAATAACTGTAATCACTATTGTAAAGTTACGTTGAATAAGATTTTTAGAAACACTCAATGCCTTAGTGTTTATTAGGCTTAAATCTTTTAAGTCTGGTATTTACCTAATAACCTAATATTGTTTTCAAAGTGATACAAATAATTCTTGCAATATGTTGTGATCAAAAGGAACAGAGATGAAATAAAACAGAATAATAGATTACTAAAACAAGACAAAGGTCTAAAGTGTTTGCTCTTTATCTGGAACAGAAGTATCAAATTTATGTGTATATTCTATATTTACAAAAAAATATAATTGGTTCATTTAGCAGTTTCATATACTGACTATAATCACATTATACCTGTGTGTGTGTTTTATATATCTTTTGTAATTAGGAGTGGACCTGATAAAGAAATTATTCATAAGCTAATGTGAGGGTAATAAAATTGGTGTTGTATAACCAAAATTGATTTTCCAGTAATATTAGAAAATAGTATCTATTGATAAAGAAGTAAAATCTTCATCAGTTGGCTGCTGTAATGAAAAGGTTAATGGGTTTATTGTATTTTGTTTTAGCAGATAACCATTTCAGTCTGTGTCACATTGTCAATTAGTGACTTGATGATGTGTATACATAGACAAAGGATAGAAAAATGTAATGTTTTCAAATCTAAAATGTATTAAACATAGTTGTGTATTTTATTCTAGACTGCATTTTAAAATTTAAATGTTGCATAAAGTGTCTTGACTGAATGGACTGAAAGCGTTTGGGACAAAAAAAAAATCTAAATTGTAAGGAAAGGAAGTACAGACTTAAAACTTTAAAAATAGTATTCACAAAGATTTAGTAACATGAAAAATTTAAAAATCAATTTAAAGGTAAATATTGCCAGCTGAAATATATAAGGTAACATTATACTTAAAATAGTTAAAGTTGTAAGTTATATTTTTCTTTTTAACATAGTATATTCCTGTGTATGCTGTAATAAACTTATCAAAAACATTTCAAATTAAGAACTTGTACAACTTAAAAAATAAATTAAGATATTAATGTTAACATTACCAGTCCATTTGTTCTTTCCCCCCGTACCCTTTGTCACAAGCCAGTTTCATGTATATCAAATGAAACATTGTGTCTTTACATAGTCATATCTATTTATGTCAAGGTTGATCTATAGTTATGCTAAGTGAGATTGATTCAAATTTGTGTTACAGAAAAGGTAACAAACTGAAAAAAAAAACTGAATTAGCCAATCTGTAAAGATGTTTGATATTGTTATCTGGCTACTATTTATTTTGGGGAGATGGTAAGAATTACAGTAATAAATACTTACATTTGGCAACTATGTTATATGTAGAATAGTTCAAAAACCTGTATAAATGGGAAAAAGATTTTAGATTTTTATATCTCCCATAACCTCATAAATAAAATATAAGTATTTTAAAATTTTACGTCAGTATTTATTGTCTATTGCTTGAAATGTTCTTCTCCAATTTAGAACAGTTTATTTTTTATATGTTTAATATACTTAAGCCACCGCACTGCTTTTATAATTTAATTTAGAATTACTGAAAGTACCCATTCCCACTTGCCTGTGAACTTTTGCAAGATTTATTAACACAACTTTCATTTTGCAAAAATCATGTATATATATATTTTTTTTTTTGTCTTGAGTGTTTAACAGTCCTTTAAAATGTAACAGACAAAATACCAGAAAATTGCTAATAATCTGAACTTTAGATGGATTTTCACCTTTTGTTGTAGTTTTTGAGTCAGTAATGTATGAACAGTATAAAATTTTAAAACTGTCTTGATGTGTCCTTGGTTTCTAACCAGGTTCAGTCCTTATATAGGTCTACCATTTCCAGTATGCATGCTGTAAAATCTACCCAACGTCTTGGTTTATATATTCAGTTACAGAAAATTGTTTGACTTCATTATGTACATATGACACAAATGCATGTGTTTGTAGGGTGATTTCAATAAGGTATTTGTACTGAAGAATAGGTGGTGTGTAGTTTATATATATCCCAGCCAACCTTAAGAGCCTTGGTATTAGGTGAAAGGTCATGTTCACAGTGGATATAGCAGTAATAGTGTGGTTGACATATTATTATTATACATTCTTTACTTTAATTCAGAAGTTCTTATTAATAATACTTGGTACTTGGTTGTGCTACTGGGGAATTTTGTAGTGTAGAGATGTTAATGGTGAAACTACCTGTACATTGTTATTGTCATGATTTAATATCAGTTGTCTAAGTAAATATGATTGATGCTAAGTGTTCTTAGCAACTTGTTTTACATAAGTTTTTAGAGATTATTTGAAATATTCAGGTCATTTTAATGTAGGTTTTAAGTTAAACACTGAAAAAAAATTACCCCGATAACCACAAGGTAGAGAAAATAAAAGTAATTTAGATGAATATTTATGAAAAGAACTATAAATTATTTTGGCACCATTTTTTGTTCGTTTATTTTGTGTAGAATGAGTATATATACATACACACTTTTATGCCTTTGTATTTTTCTATGTAAGTAAGTGACCTTGTTGTATTAATTTATGAAGTTGATTTAACAAACTGAAAACAAAAAGTGCCCATGAAGCTGTAAAATGGTTTTGATGAGCTTGTACAGTGTTGACTAATGACTGTTACTATAAACCTTACAGATTTCGATTGTGTCTTTTTGTTTGTTAATGCCCATAGGCCTCCTCCGTGAAGGCTTGTATCATCTTTGCTGTATGTGTGGGTATGTCTGCAAGGCTTCACTCGTCCCAGTTTCCATACTAGTTGGCCCATCATTGTGCTTTCCTCACTTGATGCCTTATCTCCACCTCCAAGAAGTCCTATGTAAGAATTACTTGAAGAATCGTGGACAACACAAAGCTTCAAGTTTTCAGAAGCACTTCTCAAAGTGAAGAAAAGGAAGCATCAAGTGGACTCTAGTATTTGTGTAGTCCTCTTCAGCTGTTCATTTTTTTTATTTTTTTTAATATCTAGTGAAGCACATTCCACAAGTTTTGATTCCTGAACACAGCAAGAATACACAAGAATATCAGTGCATTTTTCATATTTGAATTTTGTTTGATTGTAGTCATTCATTATGAAATTGTTTTGCCATTTTTATCTCTGTATTCTTCATGAGAGCTTCCATTAAAGGTTGCTACGTTCTTTTGAATTTGATGTGCCAAATTATATTTCTTGCTGTTGGGTATATGAAGACTATAGAGAGTCTAACCAGACAATTATAATTTATCAACTTTTTTTGTTATACACCTTGCTTTTTTAAGCATCTACACATAAAACTATGCTTTCTTATAGAAAAGTATATGGTTTTTAGATGTAATAGTTTTAGATACACATGTAATTATATTGGCCTTTTTTTTTTTGTTTAATGAACACTTGCATTCATTTGCAGTGTGTATTTCAGGCAGTCTATATGATCTTTTAAAGAAATTTGATATAGCTAGGATAAAATTGCATTATCATGAATGGTTGCTTTACCACATTTATTAGTGGAAAGTCAATAAATTACCATTGTTTTAATCTATTATTGACTAGAAGTCCAAAATGTTTACTATATAAAGATCTATTTTGGAATCTATTGCAAAATTTAAAATTGTATTTTCATGTGGAAATTTAATTGTAACTAAAATATTAATATACTTTTGTTTGTGGATCCTTTATAACTAGTTTTTGGAAAGGAAAAGTCAGAAAAAATTTTGATGCAATCTTTTAATTTGTTAACACTTTTGGGGACAGCTGGTTTTCAGGATCACCAGCCCCATCTGCAGAAAGTGTGATTCTAAGCAAGCCCAAAGAAGATTATGTGCAAACCTATTTTTTTTTCAAACGTGTCATTTACTTACATGTTTAGCCATTTATTGTATGAAATTGATCTTTTATTTTTGATTCATTGAATTTGACTGTGCCACTACTAAAGTGCCATGGTCTGTCAAAAAACTTACTGTTCATACCAGAATTTTTATTATTTGTCAGTTTTTACTTATAGCATTTTAATACCATACAATGAAATTAATTGGAAATAAGTTGTAATGAATTTAAAATTTAATGTAGTCATATGTATCATAACATTGTAGAAAATACTAAATTGTTTTAAATATAGATTTTTATGAAAACCAAAATAGAAAACTGATGGAACACATACTTTTATGTTCAAAGTTTTTGTTCTTATATATTTTTATATAATAAAAGTAACTAAGAAAGTTGAAGTTCCAGCAGTATGGAAATAGAACAGGTAACTACTCTATCCATTTTCAAACCCCTTTATACCATCTTTGTTTGTATACACGCATACTGTTTTTGCCCTATGTGTAACTTATTAGAAAAGTTTAAAAAATGGGGTGTATGGTGTGGAAAATATTTTTACTCACAAAACGAAGATATACATCTTAAATCATTTATGGTACTCCTAATGAAATGCCTAATAAGTTTAAAAGGCTCCTACAATATACTTGTAAGAGAGTTAACAATTTACTCTGTAATAGTGCCTTTAATTTGTCAACAGAAAGATTGGTTACAATGGTTAATGCTCTGCCAATTAATATTGACTTTTGATATAAAAAAATATACTATTTACATAGAGCTAAAATTCATCCTAATAATGAATATAGCTACTTTAATATACTTATGATTCAAATGCATTATTTCATCAGCCATGTCCATCACTATTAGAGAAAGTTTCAAACTAGTATGCCATTTTATTACAGTTTTACACATAAGAGATAAACTTCGACAAACTATGTATTACATATATTTGTGCCTCTGTCTAAAAAAAAAAAGGTTTAATTTCTGATGCATTTTATATAATGCTTCAAATAGTCTGGAGGGTAGAAAATCATGTTGGTTGAGTGCATCTTAGATAAAGTTTGAGCTGAAGATAATCTCTTGTCATGCTAAGATAAACTGTTACAAGTTATGCCCACAGGCAGTAAGTTGTACTCCGAGTCTTATTAAAATTAGAAAGAAAAATTCCATATGAACTAACAGTGTTGAGCGCTGTACTTTACTTAATTGTAGTCACAAATGTAAGAAACAAAGTGTAAATGAAAGTTTTAACATACAAAAAAATTTAGATCATGGATGTTACAAAATATATTTATTACAAAATGCTCTATATAAAAAAAAAAAAAAAAAAAATAAGCAGGATGTAAAAAGCATATTTGGAACACTTGAAATGTGTAGTCCAGTGACCATAGTTACTTTGATTTTATTATTATTAACCAGAAGCATAAATGTTTATATATCATCGGTATTCAAGAAATACTTGACAAACGTGTGTTTGAAAAGGATCAACATGTGTTTAATGATGTAATGACATACAGCTAATTTTTATTTAAAAAAAAAAGTTCACATGGACCAGTTTTGTAAGAGAAAGTTAAGATTTTGATAGATATGTAGATGGTAATAACAGAATTCTTCAATCTGTTGTAATGGTTCTCAAAGTTTGTTTAGCATCACTAAAGTAATAACACAAGTAAATTTTGATGTTTTACTATGTAAATGGATCTTTAGTACAGTGTATACAAAGTTTAGTCAATTTTTATGATGAAAGACCTCATTAAAAGTAATTGTTAAGTAAACATAGATATTAGAATTTAATTGTAAAATCAAATCATTTGAAGTGTGTGCTTTGACAAACATCCAAACTATAAACTTGATCATTTGGATATAATTGGGAATTTATTTTGGCAAGGCTATTTAAGTACTGCAGTTAACTTTTTCATATTAATAGAAGTTTGTACCCTAAAGTTCCTTCAATTTTTGAGGTTATAAAACCATAGTGAATTGTTTTTTTTATGGAAACATACTTAAAATCTGTGGTATAAATTATCAAAATGTCTTTAGATGACATTATTCATTCTGGATCTTTAATGTGTCATTTGATTTAAGATCACCTTTTTTTTTTCACAAAAGTTTATTTTTATGAAACATTTTGATTGACCACCAACTTATTTTTTAGTCATTTATTGAAATTGATTCTTTATATCATAAAACTGTTATGATTTAATTATAGCACATATTACTATTTCCTTGCACATTTAATCCACATTGTATCATTGCCTATTGTGTTGTGTCATTTGTAATTAACTTGCTCTGTGTCAGTTAGTTGTACTGTCTAGTAGCATTATTGGGAACTAAAAGGCACGTGTAATTATCTTCTTAAAAGATAAATCCTCTTGGTTTAAAGATCAGTCATATTTCATGTTTCTTACTAGTCCTATGAGGACTTTTAAACTCTATCTTTTGTTTTCACACATTTTTCTTTGGAACTGTTTCCAATAGTCCAATTTTGTTCTCTCTCTTATAATTATTTATTGTAATCCACATGCTTCTATGTATTATAATTTTATTTTATTTTGTTTGACAATTAATATGAAAATTATTTTTTGCTGACCTGGTCCAATCAGTATCAAATCTTTTGAGTCCCTCTGCATTAAGTCTTCTTAATTAGTTAGTACATTTAGTTCTGTCTGCTGTTCTTATTTGACAGTTCCATACACTTCTCACGGGTAGTTTAGTGATGATAATTGTAAGTGTTTTAACTATCTGGAACATGAGTTCCATGAATTTTGAAGATTTTCATAATGCATATGGCTTTTGCTCATCTGTTGGTTCCACCTTTTACAAGGACATAAGACACACTGTTCTTGCATCTAATAACTTGAAACTTTCTAACTTATACAGATGTTTCTTTTACTTTTTCAATTATAAATGTGTTGTATATAATTATTTAAGGTATATTATCGATATGCTTGCATTTTTTTGAGCTTTTGGAACTGAGAATTTCTTACACTTTTGTATTGAATAGATTAAAACAGTTTTTTAAATTTTGTTTTGTACTAACTGGCTTTTAAACAGCTCGGTAATAGTCACCATCCACATTGGTTATCAACTTAGGTATAAAGTTAGTGGGATAATGTCACAGCTCTGACATAATGTCACTCACTGACCACTATTTATTTTCTTACCTGGGGTATACATTTTATAATGCTCTAATTACAGCTAATTTTTGGGGGCATGTAACCTCTATGTTCTGTCTACAACCCTTGTTGCTTATTTCATAGAGTATGAAGCCTGTGACATAATGGTTGCAACCTGTGTTGCTTATCTTCTAAGAGTATCAAGCCTTTGACATAATGGTTGCAACCTGTGTTGCTTATCCTCTAAGAGTATCAAGCCTGTGACATAATGGTTGCAACCTGTGTAGCTTATCTTCTGAAGTATGAAATAATGGTTTCAATTTGTGTTGCTTATCTTCTAGAGCAGTGCTTCTCAACCTTTTCCAATATCATTCATCCCTGTTTTTCACAACAGTTCACTCACTCAAGTTTGAAAAAAGACAAAAGTATGAAATTAAAATGCAAAATTCTTTATTATGACTTAAATATACATCAAACTACAACTAGAATAAATACAACAAAAAATAAATGAATCTATCAAACTACAACTAGAATAAATAATTATAACTAATTACTTTTTTGCTCTTGAATTTGTTGTGTAATTAATAATATTCATTCACCCAATTGAGAAGCACTGTTCTAGTGTATGAAACCTGTGACATAATGGTTGCAATCCTTGTTGATTTTCTTAGGTATCAGACTTTTAATAGACTGAACAAGCTCTTATTACTAATGTTTTGGTTTATGAACCCTGTGACATAATGGTAACAACTCTTAATGGTGACATTTTGAAGAAAAGCTTTTTACATATAGGTCACAGTAATTATTGGTGTTTCTTGTGAAATATGAAACTAAATATGCTGGTCACAATGATGGTTGGTGTTTCTTGTGGAGTATGAAACTTTAAATATGCTGGTCACAATGATGGTTGGTGTTTCTTGTGGAGTATGGAACTAAACATACTGGTCAAAATAATGGTTGTTGTTTCTTGTGGAGTATGCTGGTCACAATGATGGTTGGTGTTTCTTGTGGAGTATGAAACTTTAAATATACTGGTCACAATAATGGTTGTTGTTTCTTGTGGAGTATGCTGGTCACAATGATAGTTGGTGTTTCCTGTGGAGTATGAAACTTTAAATATGCTGGTCACAATGATGGTTGGTGTTTCTTGTGGAGTATGAAACTTTAAATATGCTGGTCACAATGATGGTTGGTGTTTCTTGTGGAGTATGAAACTTTAAATATGCTGGTCACA